TTTTAGCTGAGAGTTTGTTGGCACATCACGACGTTCTAAAGCTTGATTCTAGTTTTTTTTTTTTTTTTTAATGTGTTTGTCACCAGAAGATCTTTATTTGCACTCAACACATGCTACTTGTTTTTTTTTTTTTTTTTTTTTTTTTTTCTTTTTCCACTATTTACCGACAAGATGTGTTCAAGGTATCCTCGCCTATTCGGTTGGAAACCTTAACTGGCTTTAACGCTTTAAACTGAGAGTATGAGCTTGTCGTGGAAATGCAGTTTTGCTTGACACCAGTATCCATAACTGAATGTGAAAAAAACCCAAACAATATGGCAAAAAGTAAGGTGCAGAGCTTAATAAGATTGGACTTAGTGCTTGGAAAAGTAAAGCGGGTTAGAAAGCATTAAAAATACAGCATTTCTTAAAATGTCTTCATTTATTTGGAACCCGCTTGACGGGTTACGGATCCACACGGTGGATTGAGATTAAGAGATTATGACAATACGAAAAATGTCATTTTAGAAAAACGCCACACAAGACAAGAAATATTTCAGAAACACTGGAGACCAAAGATGTTCCTTCAATTGTCTTTGTTTGACGTTTTATTCCCTTGATGTTACCCAGGATTCACTTCACTATTTAAAAACCTCGAACGAGGTGGTCTTAAAGGAAACCGTGGAGGATCCTGCTTAAAGGACTTGTGTGTCATCATCGCTGCTGTGTGGGTTAGTTTCAGACAACTCTCTCACACCCGATCACACTGTCTGGCTTTGTTAATGCTCCTTAAATCTCAACCTTCCCATGATTACACAGTGCCAGTGTTTTTGTTCTCAAACAGACAAAGGCATCATTTTATCAGCAGCTAACAATGGCATTACACAGTTCTCCCTCACCCCCCCAAAAATAGCATGTTGTATATTCATTTATATATATATATATATAAAACTATAATTAGAACGCCTAATTAAGCTAATCTCCTGTCCAGAAAAAAAAACACCTGATCTCCTCATTCTGAGAAATTCATCTACAGTAATGTTTCTTCCCACTGAGCCAGGATTATCCTCAGCTATCATTATGATAGATCTCAGTATGTGGCAACAAGTGGCCAATGTGCCCATCAGATCTCACAAACACATTATTATCAGTGATCCATCACCAACAGCTTCACATCTTTCCGATCTCAACAGACAGTGCCATGCCAACACATTCATGCCCTTTAACCTTTCTGCCACGTTGTCACATCATAGCCACACATTTCAGAGTGTTGCATTTTATGCAATAAGTCAAATTAAAAGGGGATGCGTGCGTTTTAAAGCGGCCCTCTTTTACTCTCAAGACACTTAATGCACCCCAGAGGATGTTCAGAAGGTAGTGGAGACCAGAAAGTAGCAAAGAACAGCAAGGAAGGTTTGGTCATTTATCCGTTGTCAGAAATGATGGGATGCTCTCAGCTCTCGGCTGCTGGCTTAGCGGAAAAAACATGTTCACATGAGCCATCAACCATTTAAACGAGGACGCACCGTCTGTGTCCAGTATCTGACAAAGAGTCAGGTCTATTTCGGCAACCTTGACAACAAGCCATCAGAAGTCCCAGCTGAGTTTCACCGTCCTCCGAGAACATTCGTCCAGTTTCCCAATCCCGCCCTCCCCCAACTTTGGTTGTAATTGAAAATTTGTGAAAAAGGATGAGTTTGCAAACCGAAGTGTTGACGAGAGCAGAGATCAGATTAATATTTAAAGCTTGTCCAACGTCCAAGAACTTAGAATTTGGAGGTGTTAAATTATTTATGTTGGAGGGGGTTGGAGAGGGGAAACATTTCGGAGCTACAGCTGTGATTTCTTCTTTATGATGGCCTCACATGGCTCCTGCTCAGTGTTGAGGTCAAAGAAGAGACTTATGGCTGAGCTAATCAGCTCGGGATTTTACCACTCAGAGAGTTGGCTACCAACCCCTGAGTAGATCACCGGCGAACGAACAAGGAGATTAGACTCTTAAATGTGGGAGCTCGAACATCTGTGTGTGTGTGTGTGTGTGTGTGTGTGTGTGTGTGTGTGTGTGTGTGTGTGTGTGTTTTGTGCTCCTTGTGCAGAGGGGTCTGTGATGTTTGACGTTTGTCAGACAGCAGACGTCGCCTGACGGCAGTGACAAAGTCGAAGCTGACGTCCAACGCCTCCATCTGTCGAAACAGATTGAGGAAACCGGACCCTCCGCCCTCCTCCCCCACCGCCATACCTCGGTTAAAGGAGGAACTCTTTGCTGCTCTCCTTTGCCATGAGGGAAGATGGTGATAAGCTGATTTAAGTGTATGATGACAGCTTTATTTTCCCCACAGGCGGATGTTTATCAGATTATGCCATCTGTTGTTATATTTGCGGACAGGATTGAGTTCAGCAGGTTAAATTCTAATTTTAGTCTCTGACCGTGTGCGTATTATAAATCACATTGCAATGTTTATGCGCCATTATTCTAAACCCTCCCTCTCGGTAGTAACGTTTTTCATCAAATCTCCCTCACGTCACAGTGCAAATCGAGTTCTTAGTGTTCTTAGCGATGACATCAGCGTGGAAGCAATATATAGCTAGATCTCTCAGCATCCATGTTGTACAAGTGAAATAAAAGGGGATTTTACTTTAGTCATGAAGAGTTGGTCCTGTGACACCTTGCGGTGAGTTCATCAGACAGTTCTGCAATCCCAAAACCACTTCCGCTGATTTTCACTAAGTAGCAGGTTTGAGTGTAAGCGGTTTCTGGACAAGGCCTGGACGCTTTATTGCTCAACACCTTGAAACTCATGCTTCATTCAAGCAGAAACGTTTCAGGAAATCCAACCTTTAATTTGAGCACATTGGTGGCGAAAAGAATAAAAATCTTGTGCAGATTTGGTGACGTGCTTTGATCCCCATGGTGGTGAAAATCCAAATGAATTATTTTTACTTTTCTGGGAGAATGAGCCAGATTTTCATTTAAACGGACCTCCTTTTAATTTGATTCTTTGAATAATTTCCAGCTACATTTAGCTTCACAAAATATCGAATTTCACCCGATTGCTTTTAATAATCATGTCCCTTGGTTATGTAAAGGAGCCTGCATTAATTTGACCTTATTAATTACCATGTTTTCATCGCTCAAAGATAATTTACCAGTGAAGGAGGGTGCTGCAGAACTATGCGAAAAATTTGCCCTCGATTTTTATTGTGCCGTCAGCACATACACTCTGCAATTTGATTATCTGCCGCGGTTACAAATGAGATCTGATAAGTTACAGCTTCTCACTGAGCATTAGCAGTTTTTTTTTAAACCTCACCTGTTTATGGTGAAACATTTTTTATGAGTTTGACTTTAAATGCTGTGGGAGTGGTGCTGATTCACATTGACAAATAAAAAACAGTTTTGCAACAGAGACCCACAGTTTTTTTTTTATTTTTTATTTTTTTTTTACTTAAGTCGTAGAACTTTGGACTGCGAGCTTAAATCATTGAGCAAACACTTCTTCCCCTTTCTGGACTCCTCTGCTTTAGTTAAAAAGAAGAACGCATCATTAAAAGGTCAAAAAGTGACCAAAGTAATGACATGGAAAACAGTGGAAGGAGGGAGTCACTGATTTGTTCCCCAATACATCAGACTGAGCGTAAAGCACCCGATCTGGTGCTTTAACCAAATAATCAACTTTACACTAAGTAACTGTGTATGAAAATGTTATATAAATCATGTTATGCAAACACAAAGCCCCAGACTGTTGCGTTGCTGTGCACCATTATGAAAAAGTAGAACCTGAAAAGTGGAACTTGCAGAAGTGAAACGATAAAACCGGCAGTAAAACAGACATAGCCTAATGATTGGTAATAAATAAATGAGGCTGGACTTTAAATGGAGGCTTGGTGGTGACTGACATTTGGTTTGATCGGCCTTGTGTGCAGATGCTTTGCAAATTTGGAAATCCAGGGCTGGAAAATCCAGGACTCAGCATCATCTTTGATTCAATCAAGCCACAGCCAGACTTCTACCAATATGAGGATTTGTTGTCACAAAAGCCAAAGTTCAGTTGTCATTCCTTCTTTCTGGGACAGAGCCTTCATGCAGCTTAACCATCCAAGCCCAACCTGTTGGGGAACATTTATTTCTGCACAGTCATCTAAATTATCCGAATACAGAAGTGATAGCTTTCATGGACTTTATTTCTTAAATCAATTATAAAAAAATAAATAAATTGGTAAAAAAAAAAGAGGAAGTTTTATCCCCCTCTTTTATGTTTTTAATGACTTAATCTCGTGACACCTAAATAAGTTATTTAAGATGTTTCCTAAGTATCCTAGCTGCGGTTTGGTTCATCGTAAAGCCGTCAGTTTCATAAATCCTGATCTATTTTTATTTTACGAAGTGTGTTTCTCACTGACATCAACAGGAGCATTCTGTTTTATATAAGACTTCTGCAGAGACTGATTATGTTCCATATGCTGCATAGATACAGCACATGGTGTAACTCTTAGACAAGCAAAACAAAACAAAATAAAAAAGTATTTCAAACAATACCCCTTAAAATTTGTCTAATTTTTTATGTTATAACCAATCACTTCAGTCTAATTTGTTTGGACTTTTTGTGTTGGACCGACACAAAGTGAAGTGAATTGTGAAGCAAAAGTTTTTACTAATAAAACATTCGTAACAATGTGTTTTTATTCATCCCCCTTCACTTTCTGTAGTAAACATTGTTTATACAGCCATGTTAGAACAATATAGGAGATCATTCACACACCGAAAGCAGAGCGAAAATTAACCTGAGCGACATCAGCTTTTAATGAGATATACAAAAAGACTCCTAAGGACCTTTTAGTCCCCATCGCAGACTGCACACACTGCCATCATGTGAACTGCTCCTGCTGCACTGCTTGAACATGTCAGCATTGTTTTGAGCAGCAGCGTAGCTCCGCCCACTGACAGGCACTCAGCCAATCAGCGGCTCGCCTCCTCAGAACCCCTGCATGTATGGATTCAGAGGAGGACTGAGGAGGTGTAGTCTTCATAAGATCTGTCCCTGTGGCAACTCACACATTTACCGCTGGCTGGGGCTCTTTGAGCTTTATCTTTGTTGTCGGGAGTATTTTTTATTGTTCTGTTTGGAGGTGTGCTGCATCCCAACGTGGCACGACCGGGACATCTCTTGTATTTACCTCGTCACCTGGCGGATGACAGATAATCTTGGACCTTGGATGAGAAGGCGAGCGGCGATGCGTCGGCACCGCTAACTCCTTTGACACAAACTGAGCTGTTTTTTGTTTTGCTTTTTTGTTTGTTTTTGGTTTCTATATTCAAGAAGGACAGAGGAAATCTGGAGTCCACAATAATGAAGCTGAAACCGAACCAGACCAGGACGTACGACGGAGAGGGTTTTAAGAAAAGAGCGGCGTGTCTCTGCTTCAAGAATGAACGGGAGGAGGAGGTACGAGACCCCGCAGTGTGCTAATCTGTTACATTTTCATGTTGTAAATCTCCGGCCTGGGCTGCTGCTCGTCACAGATAAAAGCAGCCATATTTGTTTATTCTCCATATTGGGTTTATTTTTGCGGTATTTGTGTCTGTTTGCGTTCCGTAACGCCTGCCCTGTCGCCACCGCCGCCGATGCGCCCGGGGCCAGCCAGTTTGGGCTAGTTTGAGGAGTACGACGTTGAGAAAAGGCGCCGACGTCAAGTCGTCTGTTTGAACAGCCGAACAACTGACTGATTCTTGCGAAATAAAATCCCCAAGTTGAAGTGCGCTTTTGAAAGTACGCTATTAAAACCAAAAAGCTTTTATTTTGAAGGTTAGCATTTGGCACATCCTGCTAGCTTGAGTGAAGTTGAGGAGCGCGAGGGCGAGGCTTTCGGTGTTGTAAAGCAGTTTATCGCCCCGCATTTAGTTAAGGGACGAGGATGTGAGCCATTAATCTTTTTTCTGAATCCAGAAATCAAACCTAGCTTCATACAATAACTCTAAAGTGGCGTTAACATCTATGACGGAGCAGTAGTCATTCATGAAAGCTGCTGCATCCCGCCGGCCTTCAGCAACCAGCTGCGTAACAGGCATGTTCACAAGTTCTTAAAGGGACAGTAACATATAAAAACAGACATTCCAGTAATATTCGCTCGAAAAAAAAAACTAATAAAAATTTAATATGTTGGCTAATCACAGCATGGATTTCGTGCTTATGAAAGCTTTTTGGCATTGGGAAGTTACAGAAATTCTTGTTTTGATAAATCTTTAAGATATTAAAGCTAAACTGATCTAATTTGACCCCAATCAAAAAAGCTGTGAAATAGTCTTTCACTGGACTGCCATGTTGGAAGTCAACTTCAATAATGTTGTTTGTTTCATGGAATGTGTAATATACAGATCATTAAAACAAGCTTGCTAAATATTTCATCATGTGGTGTCTGGAGTGTTATTAAAAAATACCAGAATAGAGATAGAATAGTTTTGTCTGACATAGTAGGAAATATTAAAAAGACAAAATGCACCCGCTTCAAACTGGTAAACGATTACTTTCAGTGGGGTTCTACATGTTTCTAAGAGATTGCAGAGAAAAATAACAAAAATCAAGACAAGTTTTTGACATGCATGACTATTTTTTTATGAAGAAGAAAAACAACACAACTTAAATTAACTGTACACAACTAAACATTTCCTTTGCTCTAACATTTCCTTTGCTTCCTTCACTGTTTGTCTTCTGTGTGTTTTGTTTTTGGTAGCCCAGAGATTCACATTCATAACTTGTTCTTTAAATTTGTTAGCATATGCCAAACCCATGTCCTATATATTCCCGTTGATGTAATTTTAGCCTTCTCTGACCATGGCCAGCACAAAGTTTTACATCTTGTGCAGTTATTAATGTCTGCAGAGGGGCGGCCACTGCCTGGACGTTCCAGTGTTTGGCTTTACAACACTGTGAGCTTCTGTGTTACCACATATGCTCACGCCCTGCACTTCTGCTTGGATCTGAAAGTGTGAATATAAGGTTGAAATTTGTTGGATAAATCAGTCAAGACATCTGGATATAGTATGTGTATTCATGCAACAGCTTTAGACTTGCTGCAACACCTTCTATCTGCGCTCCCATCTAGCTTTTCTTAGAGCATACAAACTTACAAAACATAGAAATTCATGGAACAGCTTTAGACTTGCTGCAATACTTTCCATCTGCGTTCCCACCTAGCTTTTCTTAGAACATACAAAGAAAAGTTTATATCGTTTTCTCCAAATTTCGAACAATGTTTACCTGGAAGAAACTTCAGAGAATACTTGTTGCAACGCAAGCATTTCTCAGAAATGTCGGGTTGTGACAGGTGTGCGCTCATGCAATCGTTTGGACGATACGGTAAGAGAACCAGCAGGATGCTTTGATTGTAACCGAGCTTTGCGTCGGATATCCGGTTTCCTTAAACTCACGACGCAATCAATTCTTCTCAGACACATGACACCTGGCTGTTGTTTAATCGGAGCTGCGCACGCCGCCAGTTGGTTTTGTTATGGAGAGGAAAAGGAGAAAGTGGAGCCCCTAAGTCACGATACTCTGTGACAGCAAATGAGCAAACCAATAAGAAGTTGGACAATGCAGAAGGACAGCAGTGACAGCTTTATTGCACAAAGCCTCTGTTATTATTTTATGTTGTAACAACCTGGCGTTGGATGAAAGAAAGCCTTTTTACTACAGTATTTCAGGGTTTTCTCAGAGTATTATAAGCCTGGCGGGCCACCAGGCTTTACCAGGCTAAGCATTGCTTGCTTATTTAAGTCTTTTTAAAATGTTTGCATTTTTAAAGAAGTGTTCAGGTGTTGTTCTTCCAATCTTTCAATAACACATGATTATCAAGTGATATTTTATAACTTTAAACATTTCTTAACTGGAAACCACGACAGGCTGTGTTTTTGAATGACTGCCCTCACATCCAACCAGCAGGCTTAGCAAGTTTTCTGGGGGAAACCTTGCTATAGAAAACTAAATGAATGTTTTCTGGGGTTTTCCAAATAGACAATGCAAGCTCTGTGTTGGTCTGCAGCTGACTGACATGTAAAGTGACATTCATGAAATGTTTTCAGTTAAACCAACAATAATAGTCCACATCAGAAGGTTCCCCGTGTGTCTTAATAGGACTTGTCAGTAGCAGCCTCGTACAAAAAAAAAACGAGAAAGAATTTCCATTTATTGGTTCAAATTGATCATTTTTAAAACCTCGCCAAACTGTTCGTAATAATGGGATTCTGTAGCAAAATCCTCAGAATGGAGAGCTGTTCACTGACCAGGGAAAAAAATAATATTTTTCACTCTCAAACCACTTGATCACTGGTGTCTGCTGGTTTGAAATTCATCCGATTGCAGTCACCAGTAGTTTTTCTTTTTTCTATTTTTTTAAAGCATTTTAAAAGCCTGTTGCTTTGTGTTTTCAGTGAACAGCAAATGTCATCTGTCCCAATTTAAGGTTGAATGTAACTCCTACATTCCTGCGTTTAAAATGACATAATTACAACTTTTCATTGAAATCATAGAGTTTTATCTAAGTTAACTGACGGTAATCACTCAACAGATGGATGTCTAACTCTTATTATGACAACCAAATTACAGCCTAGAGGGTGAATGCTGCAGCAGGTTGTTAATAAAGTCATCCTGGGACAATTAAAAGGACATAATCAGTGTTTCCTCTCACATAATGTAACCTGAAACATTTATTATGTGCATTAGTGGCTTTACTCCCATTTTAGCAGCTCCGATTTTGCACTTTCCGTCAGTCCCTCCTCTTGGTGCTCTGCCCACTCTGGCATTCAGAGCATCCTTTAGTTGACAGCTACCAGGCGTGCCTCTTTAGGGAGAAGCAGGACGTGTTTATGTCCGCTGGAGAGTTCGTGCCGGTTGCCTGTTTTGGGCGCTGTCATCGCCTGGGTTTATTCATATATTCAGTTATTCTCTTACTATAAAGCTCCACGCAGGATTTAAATTATGTTCAGATAACCTGGCTCGTCAGTGTTTTGATGAAATGTCGTCATTCCTCTGAGGTTTTTCCTTCACCTTTGTCATCTTTGTGAACGCATGTGGAGCTGCGGTAAGGTTTCAGCTGTCGGCTGACTGTTGACCCTGCTCTCATCATGATGCGAGTTATTTTGTTTTTGCACTCGGGCCCACTTTAAACCACTGCCTGTGTAGCGTGAGCCACTGTTGCTTGGGAGAGCTCAGAGAAAGCTAAATTAATTCTCTGGCAAAATAGTTTTGCTGCGTGGTATTTCTTTTAAATGCATATTCACAAAAATAAATAAATAAATAAAGCCTGAATAAATCCTGTGCTGCCGACTGATCTGACTCCCTCTCCGGTGACAACAAAAAGATAAAAATGGAGCAAGCAGAGCAGAAATCTCTTTTGTTCCCGCTGCCACCGGAAGCCGTCCGGCTTTTGTTTTGTACACATCCTCGCTGTCGGCTTGGAGCACGTTCCCTTTAAGCCCCGCTGCCTGCAGGTCAGCAGACTAACACTGTTGGTAAATGAAATTTAAAAAAAAATACAATTTTATCTTGACACAGCTAAAGCAATAAAGAACCTGAAGATTCAGTAATGAAGAAGAAGCACTAGGCTCCTGAGGGGATGTTTAGAGAACCTGAGAAAGAATAGAAAATGACTGACTTTCCATGTCCTGGTAAATAATGAAAACTGTCTCCAGTCATATAAACGTAAGACTGCACTTTACAAAAGAACTCAGACATTTTGAACCACATTCAATCCCTTTAAAGCTTCTTACTTTTTAGGAAACAAAAAGGGGTGTTTGTGAAGCAGAGAGTACATTGACGTCTTTGTTTTTTTTTTTTTTTTTTAACAAAAAACGGAAAAGCATGGAGTGCGTTTCTGTTCACGCCTTCTTTCTGGAGAAATCTGTCAATAGTACAAGCAGTAGTTGTAGAAGTCAGAGAGAACAAAGCTATTGTTGAAGGCAAACCATAAGGAGACCTGTTTGTAACTTACAGCAGTCTTCAGATTAGATCCAGAATCATGTCATCTTTGTCAGATGAGGCCAAAACTGTGTTTTTTGTCCAACTTGCAAACATTTGTAGTAGAAAACTGCAAATACCTGTAGAAACCACTGTGAAACATGGAGGTGGCAGCGTCATGCTGCTAGGATGTTTAAAAAGAGGTGAACCTGGAAGGAAATGTGTCACAGAATCGGGCAAAAAATAAAATACATCTGTTTGCCTCATTGATACATTTGCCTTTCTTTAAGTGTGTTTTGTGCAGGTTTCATTTTCAAAGATTAGCTTTAATTAAAATATATGTATAAATGAATTGAGAGCATTTGAGTTTAAGGTATAAAAACCAACCTGAGACCTACTGAAAGTGTGCTAACCCAGACCGGAATGGCTTCACATTTATTTTTTTAAACTCATTCCTCTGCTTCACTTTTAACCTTCTTGTGACTCTGAGGCCGGTGTCTGAGTTGGGCTTTTGGCTCACGTGCGGGAGGCAGCTTATGGGTTTTGGCCTCTCGGCCCCCGATTCAACCCCTCAGAGGAGCCTCATCCAAGGGCCTCCTGTGACTCAATCCCATTAGAGAATGTAAGGAAAGCTATGCGAAAGCCCTGTTTGGATTAAGTGACAGCCTGACTCCTGCGGCAGATTACTGCCGATCAGCTGCTCGGTGGAGGTGGATTTCCCCATCTGTTGCTCAAGCTGTCTGATGCACGTTTCCGTCGTTGACATACATTTACGCTCACTGATCTGAATTATATCTTATTAAGAGTTGATCCAACTTGAAGCGCTTCGTCTTCTTGAAAGTCTCTTTTTCTCGTCCCCCTCCCCTGTTTTTCTCAGTTAATAAAGCTTCTGGCGATGTCGGGTGTTGATATTTTGCCACCCTGTGGAAACATCGGCCGCGCTAACGATGGAGGAAATGTGGCGACGTTGACAGCAGATTCTCTTATGTCTTGTTTTGATCCCTAAGACGGATGCTGCCACGAAACATGCAGACGGATCTGATCCATTCGGATCGGTGAACACTGCAACAGCATTGTAATTCAAGCCTTTAACAAGGCCTCACAGGGGGGGAAGCGCCGAGAATATCTTCGGTTTAGTCGACTTTGGTCTGTGAGGAGCATCTCGGTTGTGTGTCGTTTCTGCTTTATTGCAAAAACTGCAGAAAATTTAGGTCATGTTGCGTCGGTTTGTGCTTAAATTAAAAGGAGGTGTAAAACAAAGTAAAGGTATTGTGGTTAATCGACACGTTTTTGTTTTCGTCAGGTTCTTCTGGTCAGCAGCAGTCGGCACCCGGATCAGTGGATCGTTCCTGGAGGAGGGATGGAGCCCGAGGAGGAGCCCTGGGGCGCTGCGGTGCGAGAAGTCTTCGAGGAGGTCAGTAAATCTGTGGCCTCGTTTTTAATATCGCAGGGATTCGTGCCATGAGAAAATACAAGGCAGGGCTCAGAGTTCCTGCTACATGGTTGGACACAACCTTCAAATGTAGAGCAAAGATGCAAAAGCTTTAAAAGTCCTGCTAAATGTGTTTGTTTGCTGTCACCTTTTCCGTCCTATAAAATAAATGAAACTAAGAAAAGTAATTTGTGTTTTTCTTAGTAGATTTTAGGAACTTCCTGAATTTCATGTAGCATAAATGTGCTTCGACCTATTTCTCTTGTAAATGAAAGACAAAAAGAACGTAAAAGATCTGTGTTGATGGATGTTTTATAGCCGTTATGCACTGTTGTCTTTGTCATTTTGAAGAGTGTCTAGAAGACTCTGGCCTTTTCATGTCATATTTACATCTCAGAGAAACCGAAGGTCATAAATTACTAGTTGAAAGTACCTTGTTTGAACGTTTATAGAAGTAAAATATAAATTAATAGGGATGGTTGGGGTTGCAGAGGTAGAAGCATATTTTTAAAAATATTCCCCCTAAAATGAACTACATTTTTTAGTAAATGTGATCCGAAGCTCAAGTCTCTCGTTTACCTTTTGCGTACTTTGGTTAGATTAGCCAGTAAGGGGAGTGTATATGTTTGGAAGCATGACACATCCTGACGAAACGATTTCCGAGCGGCTATAGTGACAGCAGCTCGGGGCTCGCCTGGCGTTTCTGAGGTCTCGCTGTTTGGGAACCACTTGTTCTTTGCTGCGTCAGCCGTCTAAACTTGGCTGCGAAGACCCCAGTGCGGTTTTGGTCACCGGACCCACCAGTGGACACTTGTCAAGCATGCTGAAAAGCGGGCAGGACACATGTCCTATGTCCTGACAGCTATTTGATACGTGTTAAGTACATCTTCGCTATTAAATAACCGTAATGGAAGATATAATGGCCTTCCTGCAATAAGGAGACAGCAGGGGTTTTATCGAGGTGATAAGACTCTAGAAATGATAAATGTGACTTTTATTGTGTAATGGACTCCACGTGAAAACCTCATTTAACATTGTATATGGTCCTTTAGACATTATGGCCCCTGAAAAGGGATGAGGGATTGGAGCAACAAACAGCCTGTGTCCATCCATTTTTAAAATATATTTTCTGATATTATCGCCTCAAATTTGAAGTTTTTATGTGATAGACTAACACAGGGTTGTAAATTATGATTTTTAAAGGTCAATAATCCATGGTTTTCAGTCTTTAACAAAAATGAAAAATAAGTTTCAGTCAGATTTATGTATTAATCCTATACAGAATTCCAATTGTTTTGACATAAAGAACAAAATAATACTGGAGTGCTGCCCTCTTTTTTCTTTTGTCGTGCTCCGTTTTTTTTTTTTTTTGCATGACTGGTTTTTGTGGGGAAAGAGGGAATCTGTCTCTTCAGCTGAAAGTAAAACCTTTCGTCTGTTCCCCAGGCCGGCGTGAAGGGCAAACTGGGACGCCTTCTCGGTGTGTTCGAGGTAAGCTGCTTCTACATTTGTGAAACAAACAACAAAATAAATAATGCAGCACTTTGCAGACGATGAAAGGATTCTAACTAGCTTTTATTCCCGCAATAAATTCAGCGGTAGCCCTAAAACATATGCATCATTGTCTTTTTTTTTTTTTCTTTTACGTAAAGCAAAACCAGGACCGGAAGCACCGGACGTACGTTTATGTTTTGACCGTGACAGAGACGCTGGAGGCCTGGGAGGACTCAGTTAACATAGGTACAGCTTTCCTTCTTATCCAACATACACAGCATGGCTTTTATTTATGTGGAGGCCAACGTGCTGATTGGAGGCTGAATAGGGAATACAGTGATAACAGGTGACTGCAAATCTAGGCCATGGATCTCAGCTGCAGTAAACCGCTATCGTCAGAGCTGCAGATGGCAGCATTAGCATGTCGAGAGAACACCTTCTACCTGCATTACGGTGTTCTTTGTAGGAATAGAAGTCTAATTCTAATGTGGGCATCAAAGCTGGAATATCCATCACGTTTTTTTTAATTTTTTTTACTTATTGCCTCCAAACGTATTCATGTCCTCTGTCTCCATCTGCAGGCCGGAAGCGGGAGTGGTTCACCGTGGACGAGGCCATCAAAGTGCTGCAGAGCCACAAACCTGTTCACGCCGAGTACCTGCGGAGACTGCAGCTCAGCTGCTCCCCCACCAACGGGAACTCCATCCTCCCAAGCCCGCCTCCGAACGACAACTACCCTCACTACAGCACCACCACGGGCGCCCCCTCGACGGGCAGCGTGCTGGGCTCCTCCTGGAGATAGGACCCCACCGCGCTGCCGCCTCGCCTGTCCCGGCTCGGACAGTTTACAGAAAGTCTGTACAGTCTCTTGCATGAAATCTAAAAGACTTCTCAGAGCCCCGGCTCGCCTGTATTTATTATTTCTTGCCCTCGCTTCAAGACTGACCAAAGCTGCTGCCAGGACTGTGATGGAAGACTTGAAACGTCTCTTCTGCTGGCAAGAGTCAGACTTGGGGAGGGAAAAAACAAGGATGCTGGACACTGCTGTTGTGAATGAACTTTAATTATGGGATGCCTTATTGAAACTTTGTATGAATGTTTTAATTCACTTACCGTCGCGGTTACCTTTTCAGCGGCGACGTGCGGGCTGTGGGAAAAACATTGAAATAAAAAGAGTTGCTGGCTCCAGCAGCACATCAGTGTGCAGAATGTTTCCATGTCACCAACACACACGATGGTAACGGTAAATATATTACACATGGATATTTATTAAAAAGAAAACACCTTCAAGTTCAAAAATCCCTTTGTTCCACTTTGTGTAAACATAGTCAATTTTCTTTTTTTTTTTACAGATGCATAATATAAAGATAAATTAGCTATTAAATCTGCTTTCCTGCATTGCTTTTCAAAAACAAGTGAATTTTAAAATCTACTTTTGGGGAAAAAAGCTTACGTTTTCAATACGTTCTACCTCAATAAACTTAAACTGGATACGAGATTTCTGTTCGGTAACCTCTTCTGACGCAATGCTACTGATTAAAATTCATTCAGCCTGCAGCGTTACCTAACTAATGTGTGCACGCCATCTTCTGTCTGAAGTGTTACATCGAGCAGGCTGCTGGTTTTACTCCAGAGAGAACTGATATTTCTAGATGGCATTAAAGTAGAGATGCACTGATCAGTTAGTTGGCCAGAGATCAAAATCAGATTCTATTTCTTATTTCTTCGGTGGTGCTGATCTGTCGTAAAATACCAAAATATCACTTCTTTTTTTCCCATTAAAACTAAAACCAGCCCCTATGTTTGTTCGGTTAGCTAGCATTTCATTTAATTATTTTTCTATGTCTGGATAAGTACGGAAAATGTTCCAAGTTTGTTCCATGTTGCAATTTTTTTGTTGAAAGAATGAGAATTTCTTAAAAATAAATATATATTAGTTGTCTTCTTAAATAAACATTTTTGTGGTTATATTAAAAACTGAGATTTTGCTCATAATCCAAAAGCTGCCACAACTTTTTTTTTTTACTTCGAGATTTGCTTGCATTTTGAGCAATCAAAGTAATCAAAGCATTTCTTTTACAAACAAAATTAATCAGAAATGACATCGTCAATTTAGGAATCTCTATGTATTGTTGAAAAGATGAATTTGCATTTGAGAAGCGGATGATGTTGTATAGATTGTAAAACGAGAACTAAACTAGATCCAGATACCAGAAAAGCTGTGAAATTTTCCTTTACCACCCTGAGAGGTGAGAGGCATTTGTTTTTCTTCCTAATTTGTTGTATTCCTTTACAGATGCAGATTTTGATTTTTGTAGTGGTCAGAAAATGTCTCTTTTTAAAACTTGTTTGAGTTTGTCTGCTCTTCCTGCGAACGTCAATGATTTTCCTTCAAATCAGTCTGATAAAGTGATCCAGTAAAAAAGATGTACTTGATTACTGATTTTTTTTTTCAAAATATCATTAGTTTCTAACAACTACAACAAAAAAGATTCCACATATAAAAATTAAGGAAATGCTAACCCTCACATGACACCCTGAACCAAATTTCCCATGATGTTTTTCACCATTGCTTTTTTTTTTTGTACGTATCTGGTGTCATTCTTGTTTAAAAGATAATTAAAAGATTATAATTTTTGTGTAAAAATGCAATAATCGTGTTTTTCTGGTAAAAGCATTGGAAATAGAGGGGAGGAGCAATTGTCCTGGAAAGGCGACTGCAGTTTGTGAAAACGCTTTCACAATACCCCATCCAGAGTTATTATGAATTTTCTGTAACATGTAAATTGTAAACAGATTGAACATCAAGAGAAAATATAACCTGTATGAAAATTGCCTCCCTACCTTTTGCTTCGACAGCTGAATGAGCACTCGATGTGTGTAAATAACTTTAAGAGGCATTGTAAAATGTGTTTTTAACCTGTACCTCTTTAATATTTTCTATATTTTTAAAATGATGCACAAACAGGACGTGTACAGTGTGGGGTGTCCATGATGTGAAGGCCTTGGAAAAGGAGAGTATCGCCTCATTCATGAGAAAACACAAGATTATTTTTAATTTGGGGACTTGATTCATATTATTTGATTTCTTCATTCACTCAAACATCTGCAGAGCTTGAATATAAAATAGGACGTCCCGTATTATGTTGAGGCTAAAATGACACGTTTTGAGAAATTTCAAATATATCAGATTTATATTTCTTCTTTTTTTTTTCCACTTTTGGACCGTTTCCAACACTGGCAGACCAAACCGTTTATTAGGGTTAACTTTGGACTTGTTTTCCAAACTTTTTCTTTATTTTATGATCACTTTGTTCTGTCTTCATCACATAACCTTATCTTTTGTAAACATCACTCAGGTCGTCTGAGCTGACATCAAGCTTCGGCTTCTCCTACTGCTGTCTGTCTGTCTGTGTGTGTGTGCACACTTGTGTATTACAAGGGGTGAATTTAAAATGAATTGTGCCAAATGTCAAAATTTGTGCTATACTAGGAAAAAAAACCATCTATATATGTTGAAAATTAGATAAGGTCTAATCATGACGAGTTTCTACAAAGTATTTAAAATGTTTTATGAAGGTTTATTTCTTAAAGACCAATTTTATATATACATATATAGCTTTTTAAGGCTGTATCATTCACCATCTAATCGGTGGTTAAATTCTGTCGGCTGCGTGTGCGGAAACGCCGTCGAATGTTTCAAGTCTTAGCCAGTTTCCATCTGCTCTTATTCTTCTGTTGAAAAGCTTGTAATCAAGGCAAATGAAAGTGTTCTTACTGTTTATCATGGCATTTTGCGAAGCTCAATGTGAAAGTGATCTGGGAGGAAGAGATTGCATTAAAGGAAGAACAACTTAACTCCAACTGTTGAGCGTTCATTCATTTTGGACTCGGGTCCTTCAGAGGATAAGAACCACTATCTATCTATATATCTATAGATATAATATAGCTATCTATCTATCTATCTATATATCTATATAGATATATATATATATATATAGATATAGATGTATACCTATCCATAGATAGATAGATAGATAGATAGATAGATAGATAGATAGATAGATAGATAGATAGATAGATAGATAGATAGATAGATAGATAGATAGATAGATAGATAGATAGATAGATAGATAGATAGATAGATAGATAGATAGATAGATAGATAGATAGATAGATAGATAGATAGATAGATAGATAGATAGATAGATAGATAGATAGATAGATAGATAAAGTTCCACATAAAGTTCTACGGAACTTTATGTGGAGAAACAGGCCTCATACTTTTACTGTGTGACAAGTGACTCACCAGTGGCAGAAAAAGGAGGCAAGTTTAGTGTTTAGTATAAGCATGCATCCAAATCTCTCTCTCTCTCTCTCTCTCTCTCTCTCTCTCTCTCTCTCTCTCTCTCTCTCTCTCTCTCTCTCTCTCTCTCTCTCTCTCTATATATATATATATATATATATATATATATATATATATATATATATATAGAGAGAGAGAGAGAGAGAGAGAGAGAGAGAGAGAGAGAGAGAGGAGAGAGAGAGAAAGAAAGAGAGAGAGAGAGAGAGAGGTATATATATAGAGAGAGATTTGGATATATATATATATATATATATATATATATATATATATATTATATATATATATATATATATAGATATATATATATATATCTATATATATATATATATATATATATATATATAGAGAGAGAGAGAGAGAGAGAGAGAGAGAGAGAGAGAGAGAGAGAGAGAGAGAGAGGCAGGCAGATAATGGAGAAAATGTGATTTATGTTTATGATGCTGAGCGGGTTTCCTTTCATGCCTCTGGTGAGTCAATAGTCAAAGTATGAAAGGATGTGGTCTATATATATATATATATATATATATATATATATATATATATATATATATATAGAGAGAGAGAGAGAGAGAGAGAGAGAGAGAGAGAGAGAGAGAGAGAGAGAGAGAGAGAGTTTTTGGAGCCTTTGTGTTGTTTTAAGGAGAGGAGACGTCGGACACGTCAGGTGCGCGTTAAGCCCCGCCCACCGCCCCATCACTCAGGTCAGGTCTGCACATCAAAAGCAGAGCTCGTGGACCGGGTGCTCTTCATCCTGCACGAGGACAGCAGCGACCATTGTTTCTGCCTCGCAATAGAAAGGAAGCATTCAAAGTCGAGGCGGTCAGAGATTCTCCCCCAGCAGGACAGCAGCCCGGCTCCTCCGACCGAACCGAGTCCGAACTCTGACCTGACTGGAACCTTGTCTGGCGGGAAGAACCTTCTGGTGGATCCGAACCCAGTTCAGCTCTCTCTGCGAAACAATGGCGTCTCCAATGGTAATATCAGCTTTTACAATTTTGTAGATAAACATTTTACAGTAACATAAAAAACAAAATGCAGCAGGCCTCTTTGTTTGAATAAATGTATTATTTATTATTCTTGTTAATTAGAGTCGTTGTGAGTCGTTTAAATACACTCTTTACCTCCTAATTCAGCCTGATGAAGGCTCAGAAAGGCTGAACAGGTGATTTATTTTCTCCTAAGTGAACAGGAGGCCTCTTGTCCAACAGGTTCCTGCAGTTTCATCAAACCGCATCAAGCCTAATAAAACCACAGGAAGTTGAGGCTACATTTCACGCTGCAGACTGATTGATCCCACTGACACTTAAAGTGAAAATGTTTCCACTAATTGGGCATTTTCTGCGGAACTTTATGTGGAAAAACAGGCCTCATACTTTTACTGTGTGATAAGTGACTCACCAGTGGCAGAACAAGGAGGCAAGTTTAGTGTTTCATATGAGCATGCATCCAAATTCCCATCATTCCAATCACATCTTCTCACTCCTCCGAGCTCGTTTTTTTAGATGATGTGCAAGCAGAAATGTATCATATCAATGTTTTTTGTTTTTGGTTAAAGAAAGCCCTGATGAGTATTTGGTATGGAGCGTAAAACAACTTTAGCTGGAAAATTTGATGAAGAGGAATATCAGATCTATTTGGTGCTTTTAATGACAAAAACCCCACCAATGTAGACTAATGTATATATGATTGAGATGTTTCGGCATATTTCCGGTATTGCTGAATATGAATATTGCCAGGCAAATGCTTTTTGTTAAGACATAGCCAGGCAGTTTTAAATGTCTCAATAACTGAAATGATCAGTTCCTCTCTGAGAAACTATTCAAGCCAAACCTTTTTGTTGTAAAGTCCACACAGAGTCGACGGCTATGGAAACGATCTAAATTTGAAAGAACCAACGATTCTTTGGGCATTTTGTCTGGAACTACAAGTCTGCAGGAATGTCAGACCACATCCTTTCATACTTTGACTATTGACTCACCAGAGGCATGAAAGGAAACCCGCTCAGCATCATAAACATAAATCACAACATTTTCTCCATTATCTGCCTGGCGAATGTATCCACAGCATGTATATATGTATTTTTATTTTATTTTATTTAGTTTATGCCGACTGACATGTTTGTTTAGCAGCTTCAAAAGATTTTCTGAGTGAGGATTGTTCTCTTAGTTGGGGAAAAAGCCCCCTGACTGGAGGAAGTGTTGCCATCGATTTAGTAAATACCATGTTGAACTGAATACTCTATAAGGGATTCTTTTGGATTTGTTTCAGGGGGAGCCAACTTACAAAATTCATCCAGGAACTTGGATGCCGTTCCTTCTTTCACAAAGGCAAAAAACACACCTTTGTGGCTAAAACTCTGAGCACCAGAGCAAAATGCCACTAAATGATTTCCTTTCTTTCTTGTTTCAGCTAAAAGCATATCTGAGTTTCGCCTGTTCATAACAATGAGCCGTCCAAATGTGTGGCTGCACTTTACATGCTATACTCCTGAATTTGAGTTTACACAAATTTGTGATGCTGCTGGGTTTTTTACACTCACTTCCTGAAAGCCAAGCTGATAATTCAGAGTATTCTCATCTTCAGCTGCACACAGTACAATACAAAGAGAGACAATGTGAGTGAGGTGAAACTAGTGCATAGTTGTTGTTTTCCATCACTGTTATTAATGAAAATCTAATTCCGTTTATGGGAAAACACAGAAAAATGCTTGAATTTAAACAAGTGGTTCAGACTAAAAAGTTTGAACCACTAAGTTTGTTTGTTTCCAGTTACTGTGACCAAAACAATTGTTAAAAGGTGAAGAAAGAAAAAATTTATGAGGTCAGAAATATCCAAACACGTCCAAGAGAGGCCCATAAGACCAAATTTAGCTCCTTCTATCTTTCCATCATAGTTTTCATGATTCCATCTGATCATAAATTTCTGGATTTAGCTTCATGCCAGTAAAATGTATCAACTCACTGGCTCACTTCTAAGTTACCTTCTCTGACTTTTCCATCAGAGTAAAAGGGAAGTCGATGCAAATGCTCAGCAACTTTGCACATTTTTATTTTAAAAACACTTTTTAAACCTTTTGATTTCCCCACTTCATGATTATGCACCATTCTGTGGGGTTCCATCAAAAATCTCAACAAAATGCATCAATGTGAGAAAACTGTTGTGCATTTGGAACAATGGACAACAAAAAAAACACGCTACTGTTGAAGTTTGGGTCTGGAAAAGTTATTTTCAAAAAAACATTGAAAAAGTAAATGTTTGGAAACCTTTGCCATCTTAAACATTACTAAGTATGTAATTCATTTTTGTTTTAAAGGTAAACGGGTTCTATTCTGGTTCACATCTGAAGAGGAGACTCTTAGGCAATGATCGCACACATTTACAGACTGTAAGTGCGCTGGGTGAATCACCTGACCCCTTGAATCCACAGCACTATATCTCTGAGACGTCCCGCAGCACACCCACCCGAGCATCCACGTATCAACTTGGGAAGTTCAGAAGCTACTCACTCACTCATCAGTCAGTAAGAACAAAAAATCTGTCCGGATCCATTGCGGGACAGAACAGCCTTAGAGTTGGCCAGAATCAGAAACGCAATTTCGTAAAACCTGATAAACAAATGGTACAACGAAGGACATCTGAGTGGCTCAGATCCACCCACATGGACAGAGGATTTGCCCAACAGGCTCAAATGTCCCAGAGAGAGGAGGAAAAGCCTCCAACGATGACAAATCAAAATCCTCTAGAGATGACAACTCAAAATCCTCTAGAGACGACATCTCAAAATCCTCCAGAGACGGCAACTCAAAATCCTCCAGAGATGACAATTAATAGAGCCGTAAAATGTCTGGACAAGCGAAATGACAACGAGTTGATCTTTGCCGCCGCTTGGATTCAGAACCAATGTTTGGAAAATGACAAAGCCAGAGTTGAGGTACATTTACTCAGAATAAATAATCTGGGAACATTTCCTCCATTATCTGCCTAGCAAAGCTTTAGCAGCTTTAAGGAGGCGGAGTCTCTTAATGTTGACATTTGTTAGCTCATCAAGTTCTCTTGGTTTCAGTTTCACTGGGAGGATGGGGCTGGAAAGCTTCTACAGCTGCTCAAAAGTAACAACACACGGGTGCAGTGTGTCGCAGCAGGGGCCTTGCGTAATGTCGTCTACAAAAACAGAGGCAACAAGAAACACGTGAAATACGAAAACGGCCATACCATCATCCTGAATTTACTGAACAAGACGCAAGATGAGGACACCAAACACCAGCTTGCAGGTCAGGTTTTTAGATATAGTTTATTGTCACACCAACTGACCATTTATATAGATTTATTTTGAATTTCAACATTTTAATGAAATGTAGTGCTGATACGTATTTGCCTAGGCAGGCAGATAAAAAGCCTCCAGAGATGACAATTAAAAGGGCCGTAGATCTATAGAAACAAGCTATAGAAGAGTGAAGGTTTTTGTATTTTTTATTTTGCAGGATTGATTTTTAAAAAATGTCCTAATTATGCCTGGTAAAATTAGATTTGATCAATTATATAGAAATAGTAAATGTTTTAAATTATAAAGACAATACTGTAAATGGTGATACGCCAATCTGTTGACAAATTTTCCACATTTATTTCCACATTATTAGCAGGTCAAATGCTTCTTTCTCTTCTTCAATAAGGCACAAAAATCTTATTTCAAGAAAGATTTAATTTAAGAAAGATATTTCATTTTGACCTAATGACTAATTTTGTGTAAATAATAACAGAGCTGATTATTATAAGGTTCAAATAAAGGTTTGAATTCCAGGATAAACCACATTAATGGTATTTTTACGTCCCTCTCCTACAGGTCTCTTGTGGAATCTGTCTTCAGATGATGAGATCGCGTTACTTTTTGATGAAAATGTCTTTAACGTCCTCACCAACGTGATTTTGGTGCCATTCTCTAACAGAAATGAAGAATCCAAACGTGATTTGATCGTCAATCCCAAAGCTTTCCTCTGTGCTATACAGTGCCTACTGTAAGAAATTCAACCAGTTTTTATTTTATTTTTTTTTATTTGCTACTGGAGAGGAATCCTGCATTCGGTATTTTCCAGGTCTGTGAAAAGAAAATGAGCATGGAAAGTTTTCCTGCTTCCAAATTTTCATCCCTCTGTCCATTCAGCCTCCATATTTAAAGTTATCTGCTACAGGAACGCATTTCATAAATTCATCGGGGAGTTTAGTTTTACAATGATCATACAGGAACGCAAACTCTAGAAAGCTGGATATTGAAATGTGTGAGCCTTTTACCTGAGAAGCATAAGAATGTTGTTTACCTGGACATGCCAAACAATGACCTGTTTGCCATGATTACTTGGTAGCATCCTTCCTGCTGAGAATGGAGCAGGAAATACACATCTGAATTCCAAAGAAGTGTTTATTACCACGACAAATTTCTTGTGAAGTGACGATACCTAATAACTTAGCATGTTGCCCATGACTACAGCTTGAAGAAAAGAGCGATAGCCTGAATTATTGAGGAAGCTTTGTCGCTGCTCCACTCAGCTGAACTGAAATTCATGGGAAATGATACCATCAAGATCTGCTTACCGGGTTCTCAGACCTTTTTGTTTACAAACTATGCAAAAAATCATACAAACATCCACTGTTTCATGACTGCGCAAAGATTCTGTTTTCCAGAATAAAAAAGCAACGGGTGATAAATATTTTGTCACCCTTATCTAAATGCTGATAACTAGTCGCTTCATGACGATGATCTGTTTGTGTTCCTGCAGGAATCTGAGCTCTCACTGTCACCACAGGAAGAATATGAGGCAGTGTGAAAATCTCCTTGACTCTCTAGTTTCCTTTACTACACAGTCTGCAACCAAACCCAGACCTGATGACAAGGTGAGAAGAAAAACACGCATGGTTGTTTCCTGAGTGCTTTTTATTGCCCAAGTACAAATATCAATGTGTAGATCAAAAACATGAGATCAGAACAAAATGCAAAGTAAAGCTTAATTATGAAGAAAAAGGGGAGAATTTTTCTTCCGTCACAGTTGGGCCGAGTCCACAATACAGTTTAATATTTTAGAGGTTTGGGTTAGATATTCATATGCAACACTCTCTGTTTGAAGTCCACAGAAATCTGTGTCTGCATCTTTTGTAACTTGACCTTTGAAGCTGAGGAAGACTGGATCCCTCAAACCACCAAAGATAAGGGAGAGACTCAACAAACTGCAACCACCGAAAATAAGGGAGAGACTCAACAAACTGCAACCACCGAAAATAAGGGAGAGACTCAACAAACTGCAACCACCGAAAATAAGGGAGAGACTCAACAAACTGCAACCACCGAAGATAAGGGAGAGACTCAACAAACTGCAACCACCGAAAATAAGGGAGAGACTCAACAAACTGCAACCACCGAAAATAAGGGAGAGACTCAACAAACTGCAACCACCGAAGATAAGGGAGAGACTCAACAAACTGCAACCACTGAAGATAAGGGAGAGACTCAACAAACTGCAACCACCGAAGATAAGGGAGAGACTCAACAAACTGCAACCACCGAAGATAAGGGAGAGACTCAACAAACTGCGACTCCCAAAGAGAGAACTTGCAGCTGTTTTCCTTATCGTCCTGCCAAACGTCGAAAGGTAATCAATTCACGATTACAAGCCGATTTTTGTTGGCCAACAGAACTCAGTGCATTATTGTACAATGTAGGATAGAGGCATAATTTCAATTATTTCAATTAAAAATAAAAATCAGCATTTTTTCACACGCACTACAAAGTTCAACATAATCAGCTTCCTTCAAAAGAACTGGTATTTCTATTGAATTGTTTTTGCAGAAAGTTATTACGAGAATAAACTTCATGCATTATCTTTCAAATTAATCTCTTAAATTTTTTGTGAGTGGAAAAGAAAGATCTGTGGCTCTTGTTTTTTTTTAGAAAGGTTATTTTTAAGCAAATGTTTAGAAAGTCCGTCATTATCGTGAAATGCATGATGCATGATTAAAGTCGCACTGGTAAATATTTGGTTACATCTCCTGGCGGAACAAACCAAAATAACAAGAAAGAGCCTAAATATTGTTAAACTTGATTCAGCTGCTGTTTGTGACCCTAGTGAACGCCCGTCGCCTGCCTTGACCTCTGCACCTCCAAATTATTTCCTCCCAGGACCCAGAGGACAAAGAGAAAGCAGAGGAAAAATGCCCCCTGCAGAATAGTGATAACCCACGGGGAGCTCAGTGGCTGTGGAGCGATCAGCTTGTACGGGCGTATCTGTCGCTGTTGGCCTGCAGCAAAAACAAAATTACGCTGACGGCTGCCATGGGGGCGCTGCAGAACCTCACACTGGGAAAGGGAGAGGTAAAACGAGACAAAGTTGACCTCTGAGGCTTTGTGTAACTTCTTTAAATGCAATTTCTAATAGGAAAAGTTAATAAATAAATAATAATAAAACAAGTATTTAAATGTAAAAAAAACCCAACAAAAAAACCTGTTTTGTTTCTGGGCTTCTTAGCTTATTTGGAAACTTTGTTGCTGCTTTATGTTTGAGGAATAGCTGGAGATGGTTTTAAAATATTTCTTCTGTGACCTGACAGATCTCTGAGAAAGTTGCCAAAATTATCCAGGAGCAAAATGGACTTCAGAAAATTAAGACTCTTGTAGAAAACGACAACACACTGAAGAAAGCAGCCTTGCTTCTGATGAGGAACCTCTCCCGCTTTCCAGATCTACACGACTCCATCCGTAACTCCACACTCTCACTTTTGAACTTTACTGTTCCAGAACATTTATTTTCAAACCCTTTGACGTAAAAATCAAGAAAACTAATTACAACTTCGGAGTAATTAATGTTTCATTTGATTTTTACGCAACAGAGAACTGCATGATTGTGAAGGAAGGGCTAAATAAAATGTTTGTAACATGAAAAAGATGTTCAATAAATTCTGAGGGGTCTGAAAAGAATGTTACTGTAATTTCATGCTAAAAGTGACGCATTGTTGAGATTTTATTAAATTTTTCTTTACTATTGCAGTTGACAATTTATTGTCGAAAAACTACACAAAAACCTTTTTATGGCTTTTGGACATCAGTGCAGAAGAATCTTCTGAGTTGATGCCGGTTCTGTGTCGGATCCTCATAAACCTGAGCAAGAACAACGCGAAAACGGCCTCACAACTTAGCCGTGAACAGGAGGTGATTAATATGTTAAAGGAGAAACATGAAGGGTTAGTGGAATATCCAACATATTCAAGTCAAAAACAATCATGTTCTACCTTGTTGATGGCTATATGTGACCTTCTTCACTTTTTTCCCCCCATCTTTTCATTATGAATCCAGTAGAGCTAAACAGGCGGTGAAGGAGCTGAAGTACACGTTGCAGAAGTCTTCAAAAAATATAAAGAAGTGAGTCCACTCACACATCACTTTGTATCCAATGTCACAACCATCTGTAGATGGTTAATTCCTAATTTGTCAACCGAAAAGAGCAAGAAAGACCCTGAAAAATGTTTAACTTTGCTTAGCTCCTGTTTATGAACACAGTTATAGTTTTAAAGGATTACTTGAGTCAAGACTGGGTGTAAAAGCTGATCAGTCAACAACAAAACAACATGTACATGCCCTTTCATGACCCTTAAAATGGAGCTCCGGTGCATATTTTGACCTTTAGGTGTTTCTGCTACTTGATTGCAGTCCACTTGGGGTAAATTTAATTGTCTGGATATAACATGGACTGGAGGAAGCTTATGATGTGAATTTCATAGAAGGAGCCAAGCAATAAGGTCAGAGAAGCTGTTGCAAGACCCCAAGACTGGATTATGTCAAAGCACAATTTACTGCTGCCTTTCAACAGTAGAGCAATCATGTACACAAGAGATTGTTAGAATTTTGTATGAACAAACCCAGGGAAAGAAAAGTACTACTTGTCTGTAGAACATGTGCATTGCTCATCACCTCACTAGCAGCATCCCTGGTGCTGGCAGCATCATGTTGAAGGACTTTTATGCAACAGAGACTGGTTGTGTAGATGACTGGAGGCAAACATGCATTTTGAACTTCATACTAAGGCAAAATTTCAACTTTCAACAAAACGTTGACCCCCAAACAAACACCCGGCTGCCTGTGAAGCTCCTTAGAGGGAACTTGAATCCATCTGAACTTCTTTGGAAAAATCTTAAACTTTACTATCACCTCTCATCCGAACTAACTGAGCTGGAGGAGATCTGCGGAGAAAAATGGCAGAACGTATCCAAAAATATTTGTAGACTTTTCCAGATGCGGACTGCATAATAAGTCCTTCTTTCCTTTTTTTTTTTCACAACAGGATAAAACCAAAGTGCCCCAAAATTCTCTTCAACCACTGCTACAAAAGACTCTGAAGTCCTGCTATGGAGCTGAACATCAAGAAATCTGATTCCATAATCAGTAATAAAATATACAAAACGCATTTTTTTCCCATTAGGAGTTCTATTTTTTAAATTACTTTTTATTGCAGTGCACAAAGAAATATGGGATGAAATGTTCAAATGCATGCCTTTATAAGTAGGAGACAGATACATCAAAGCACTTTTTAGGAAACCACAATGAAATAAGCAAGTATTCCCAGCCACTGTCCAGTGCTGTATGGATTGGAGAAATTTAGCAGACTTGAATTCTTTGTGGCAAAGATAATACCAGCTTCTTCTTTTTTTTAAATGCATGTTTTTTTTATATTGTATGAAGACAGCTCAACATCTAATCATATTAATTATTACTAAGCACTTTGTGTGACAATGCTGTGAAGAATAGGAGGCTGAAACAAATCAAATCAACAAATTATCTACAATAAAAACAAGATGGGAAGAAATGTTATTATTGAACACATGAAATGTAAAGTATTCAAAATGTATTTTTAATTGTAGCAAGAAATCTTCTTTTGTGAAAATAAACATTTTTGAATACATTTGAATTACATTTGGAAATTTTGTAAATGTACAAAAGAGAAATTTAAGAAAACGACTCAAAACAAATCAAAATATTTAGCTGTATCTTCGTCAGGTTGGCTAACCGTTATAGCCAACCAGAGTTAAGTTAAAGCCCAACAGTACTTCGATCAGATGAGTTAACCTGACACAGCATTGCCCTTGTGGGTCCTGGCAGGGCGAAATCTGAAGGAGGGGAGGAGACGAGAGGCAAGGTGCCAGCCAGCATCACCTCTCTGTCAATAAAAGGAACCTGGATGATCCTGTAGAATTTTTCAAGAACAAATGTTTTTTGTCAATTGAACATAAAATATAAGAATATAAATATATTAAATAGCATTTCTGTAAATAAAATTTGGCTCCTTTTACAATTCAACACATTTTCAATGGAGGAATATGAGCTTTTTGTTGTGTCCACCAGAGGGCAGCGGCGCTTCGTCAACAATCAAAAGCACATTCATGAATGGAAAAGTGTTTTACATGCTTCCTCCACAAAACCCCAGGTTTTATAAACTAATAACCTCTTTTCTTTTTTTTTGGGTTGCAAGTTCCAATTTCACCCATTTTGAGAACCACTATGACGATAAAGGCCACAAATTAAAGCTGCTGTCTTGGCGGACGAAGGATAAGACTAAGTAGAAGCCAAATCCCCTTATCAATAGCTTACTTGTTTTCCACATCCTTTTCTGTGAGAATTGGACCAATTTCTAGTTTCACAAGAAAAGCTTCATCTTGTCGTAACTTTTAATAGAAAAGGCATTATGGGATTAGTCAGAAAAATGTCACGCCTGTTCCGTCTCTTCACCGGTCGGACTTTCCTCGAAGAAGCCAGCAGAATATTTTTAGACCTCTACAGAAACAAAATACATCCAAAACACCAGAATAGCCAGAGGCAGCAGGTGTGGAGAAACATGAGAATAGATTTGTTTGCTCCTGGGGTCCTAAAGTGGAACATGTTGGTGCCGACTGCTCTTCAGTGGAAACTGGGAGGAAGGCAGATGGTTTTTATTTTACAGTCGGGTTTTTATTGTTGGGGATGTCAGCAATCAGGTCAAACTGCTCGAAATAATGGGCACATTTTTAAAACAAGGAGGGAAAATATTTTTTAATGTACTTTTCTGAGAATGTCTGGAATGAAGTTCCGCCCTTATTCTTATGAAGTTGGAAAAAAAGTGATTGTGTGGATTATAGTGGAAGTTTGAGACCTAAGGAGGAGTAATGCTTTTATCTGCTGATGATGTAAATGAGGAATGACTTTAAAGAGACAGAAATACCATCAGTTTTATCAAAACTTTCAATTGCAAACTGTGTTTAAAAGGCAGAAAGCGTCTCTGCCGCCGATGACATGAACTCCCTCAAATCTAACTATTGTTTTACGAAGATATCTTCAATTGGTGGCTCCCCAATTGAGGCATTTCAGCCAACCTGGACACTGAACCTTTTAAAGGCCAAATATCTGCAGCGCAGGTGCAACTGGTATATTTGTTGCTGACTGGAAACACTGGGCGGTGGCGATGCATTGGTTTTACTGATTTGCTTTTGGTCGCAACCACAAAGTCTGCAAACTGGGGGACAAAACTGATTCTTTAACTTTTTTATTTTTAAAAAAAATAAACTAAGCTCTAGATTTGCATGTACTGCAGAGTAAAAACAAGAGTTTGGAAATAATGAATGAAAATTTTACATTGGAGCGACTCAGAAAAACAACAGCATTACCTTTTTTTTTTAATTTATGAAAACCTAATGATGTCAAGTGGGAAACAGATCAATTTGTTCTTCTGAGTAGATTAACTGTCGTAAATACAGCAGGTAACCAATAAACTTGGTGAAAAAAACAGGAAAGGTGAAATCACAGTGGACTAAATGCTGAAGGTTGCCTGATTCTGTCCATTCAGCAGAACAGGCAGCTGTCATGATTAATGCTGCCAGACATGAAGGCGCCACAGCTGACTGGAATTTTAAGCAAGCAAAATGGGAGATCAAGTAAAAACATAAATAAAAAAACAGAAAACTGCATGTCTTTAAGCAAAACTCAGGCTGGTTATTGATAAATTCAGTGTAAGCATCATGTTTGCTTACACTGAATAGGTCATTGAACTTGTAATGGTCGAAAGATTATTGACAACCAGGTTGACTAAGTTATGCTGTGCTGATTTAAAAGCCACTTTGAAATAATGGATTCAGTTCAACCTGATATATTTATTAGTGCTGCTGATTCATAAATGTCTTCTCAAGACAAATTGATTCATTTTTCATAAAAATATGTAGTGAATGCAGACAATTTAATCCCAACCATAAAACAAAACAGCCAATTGCATGAAGTCGTTAATTTTTCCACAAGCCGTCATTTTTTTTGTTTCCGTTTTAGTGAACAAACAAAAAGACAAAGACTAAGGCGAGAGAGAAAGCTATGAAGCAGAGTTGGATTATAAAATACAATCTAAGGTTTTGAACATCTCATTAAGGATTGTTCAGCCCATTAATCAAAAATGGAGCAGGTACGACAAAACGTCTAAACCTAATCAGACCTAATCTGATAGATTCATCGTAATTCTGGACGTGAATGAAGGATGAACAGGTTTATTGTAAATGGAAAAAATTTTATTTGGAAAGTATTTATCAAAATTATTGTATTTGATGGGCACAGCTTTGTCATTAGAAAAAACCAAAAAGTTGAGTTTATGGAGAGAATATGTAAATACTGGCAAAGTGTTTTGTTTGTTGCATGAGACTAAAATAACAAATAAAATTAATTCATTAAATCAGTCAGTTAGTCGTAAGCTCTTAATATTTAAACAATATAATATAGTCTCACAAAAACAACGAAAGAAAAAGCTTCTACACAGAAGCAACTGACATTACAAAAAGAAACTGGTCAGTTTCTTTTGTTGCATTCGTATATATATTTAGGCCCGAGCAGCTAAGCGCTGCGAAGGCCTATTGTTTCTGTACTGTTTCTTATTATTAGGCCCGAGCAGCTAAGCGCTGCGAAGGCCTATTGTTTCTGTACTGTTTCTTATTATTAGGCCCGAGCAGCTAAGCGCTGCGAAGGCCTATTGTTTCTGTACTGTTTCTATTATTAGGCCCGAGCAGCTAAGCGCTGCGAAGGCCTATTGTTTCCTACTGTTTCTTATTATTATTATTATTATTATTATTATTATTATTATTTATTCTTCCACCCAAATGAATTGGCTTTTTGAGGGCTTTATCATATTCAAAACTCACCAAACTTGGCGGACGCGTAAAGGGAGTTTCAAAATTTTGTATTTTAAGGTCATTGCAAAAATCCCATAAGAAATGGCTCAATATCGCCACCTAGAAATTTTCAAAGGACCCCTTTGCTATTCACTTACTTTATCCTAGAGACATGAAATTTGGTACACTTGTAGCTCCCCAGGACGCTCAAAATTTACAATTAATGTCATAGTGCAAGTATCACAGGAAGTCGGCCATTTTGGATTGAAGGTCCAATTTTGAGGCCATTTTGGCTGTTTACAGCCTTCGTATTTGATCGAACTCCTCCTAGGGATTTCGATTGATCGGCTTCAAATTCGGTCAGTCTGTTCATAAGGCATGTCCCATCTAAAGTTATCAAAACTGTGAGTTTTTGAGTATGCTGAAGGGGTTTTGCAGGGGTCAAAGTTCACCTACTCGCCATAAAAACATAAACTGCTATATCTCCTACACAGAAACTCACAGAGGCATCAGAGTTACTGTGATTAATCATCATTGGCTGCCCTACAATACCCTGTGGTCGAATGATCACATCACTTAGACCACGCCCCTAAGAACAGGAAGTGTCATGTTTTACTGAGAATGGTCGCTATCTGACCCCTTTGACCTCATCAACATGAAACTTTGCCAAGACACAGAGAACATGTTGGTGTGTTGAGGATTCCAACCCCGACCAGCTTTGATGGAGCAGGTGGGCGTGGCGGCGTGGCGAAGTGACCTGTAACGCCATCGCCATACGTTTGGCTCTCAATTCCACATTTTCGGGCCCAGCTGCTCCAAACTCACAAGGATGGATCCTCAACCACTCCCCGACAGGAATCCATCACAATATTTGGTGGGCGTGGCCTAATTTCTCTATAGCGCCCCCTAGAAAACTTTAAATGATCAGCCCCAAGCCATGCTTTAACCTACAAATACGAAACTTTGTACACATGTGTATCATGTCAGGACTTACAAAAAAGTCTCTTGGAGCCATGGTCTAAACCCCACAGGAAGTCGGCCATTTTAGATTGAAGTTCAGATTTTGACCCAATTTTTGCCGTTTACAGCCTCCGTATTTGATCGAACTCCTCCTAGGGATTTCGATTGATCGGCTTCAAACTCGGTCAGTCTGCTCATAAGGCATGTCCCATCTAAAGTTATCAAAACGGTGACTTTTTGAGAATGCTGAAGGGGGTTAGCAGGGGTCAAAGTTCACCTACTCGCCGTAAAAAAATAAACTGCTATATCTCCTACACAGAAACTCACAGAGGCACCAAAGTTTCTGTGATTGATCATCATCGGGTGTCCTACAATATCAGTGCGTACCGCCTGGTGGACGGGCGCGGAAACTACGCAACAACTTCTGTCTTAGCACGTGGCCAGCGTTGATGGAAACTGAGCAACAGCTTCTGCGGTGCGGGCGGAGGAGCTGAAAACTTCGTGAGAGCTTCTGTGGTGGCTGGCGTGAGGCGGCGGTTGCTCGTTCCCCGCGGTGGACAATAGGCCGGAGCGGCGCTTGGCTGCGAGGGCCGTTCGAGGCTGCTTGCAGCTTTAATTATTATTATTATTATTCTGCCCCCCTAAAGAGGGGCCTTTTTGGGGGCTTTATCATTTTCAAAAACTCACCAAACTTGGCGGACGCGTAAAGGGAGTTTCAAAATTTTGTATTTTAAGGTCATTGCAAAAATCCCATAAAAAATGGCTCAATA